AGTGCTGTGGTGTCCCGAGTGAGGGCAACCAGAGCATACAGAGACAAAATGCTTTGTTGTCCCTCATCAAGGTAGACACGCAAGCAGGGAAACCTGAGAACTGGCTGTCCGGAGGGCGGGGGGGTGTCCCTTTAAGCACAGACCTCAGATAGCCTCAGGCAGCAGCCCCACACAGTAAGTCCTCACCTGGTGCCCTGCTGGAACTGGTTCTGGCCAGCCTTAAATGTGATTCAGAGTCCACTGAGTGTGGATGCGCTATTTCGAAATGCATTTTGTGTAGATGCGTTATTTTGAAATAAGCTATTTCGAAATAACTATTTCAAAATAACACTGTAGTGTAGACATACCCCCACTGTGTACAGCTAGATTTACCCTGATTACTCATAAGCTGTTTTAATGACTCCACATAAAGCACAAAGTCCCATTTGGCAGGATCTTTTCCTATGCCATAGTATTTGTAACAAGCAAATTACAAATTTGAGTTCATGGAAACAGAAAAGGAATTGGAAATGTTATAGTATAACAGTGCTTAGCTTTTCAGAACAAGTTGCACACAAAGCATTTTATAAAGGAGATCAGTATCATTAAACCCATTTTAAAGATAGAGAATCTGAGGCACAGAGAGGGGAAGAGACTTGCCCAGGGTCACCCAGCGTACCAATGTAAAGTCCCCCTGCTGTGGCAGAAGTCAGTCTGAGGCCCTTTTGATCACTGTCTGAGCCCCAGAGCCATGTGTGTGGTGGTACTGAAGGGCTAGCTGGAGGAGGATTGCCCCCAGCCCTGCCCTTTTGCCCTCTCCCTCTTACGACTGGCAAAATCTGTCCCCAGGCCTGTGTTGGGTCCATTCTTGATAAATGGTCAGTCATTAGTTAGTTGTTTCTGAAAGTCAGAAAATGACACTGCTTTTCAGTAGTGCCTGTATAAACTACCCTGGAGCCAGTTTTTCACCTGGTGTCACTATAGAGTGACATCAAGCAAGTATCTGGCCCAACTCTTTCTGGAACTTTTTACTTGGTGGAGTAAGCTGAGTGGAAATTGGTCATTGGGCAACCTCCGGTGTGAGAGATTTCTTCCTGGAAGAGAATCATCAGTTTCTGAATCACAACATTTATAGATTCTTAGGATATTCAACAGCAACATTTCCAGTTAAAGGCATGCAAATTACTCCCAGAGAGTTGTAAATTTTGTCTGATAAGGAGGGAGTGGCCTGTTTTACAATGAGCTGATAAAGCAGAGCAAATAGATTTTCACTTAAAAAACTGCTAAGGGTAGGTTTACACTGCCCAAGCCACTGGGAGTGCAGCTCTCAGCGATAAATCATTGTCTATACTGGTACTTTTCAGCACTAAAGCTTTTGTGTCACACCTCTGAACAACTAAAGTTTTTAGCGCTGAAAGTGGTAGTGCAGACACATCTTAAGGCTCTATACACAGTACAGCTTATGTGGCTATAACATCTGTCGCTCAGTGGTATCAATAAGCTACCCCACTTGATGATGCAAGTTATAGCAATCTAAACATCATTGTGGACAGTGCTATATTGACAGAAGAGTTTCTTTTGCTGATATAAATACTACACCACATGGGAACTGGAATAATAACGTTGATGGGAGAGCTCACTCCCATCAGCTTTGCATGTCTTCAGTAGCAAAGATACAACAGCACCACTGCACTGTTGCAGAAGAAGCTTTTCTGCTAACATAGCACTATCCATACCAACACTTAGGTCCCAGGAATCAAACATGATTCTGGGATGCATAAATAGGAGTGTTGTAAGCAAGACATGAGAAGTCATTCTTTTGCTCTACTCTGTGCTGATTAGGCCTTAAGTGGAGTTCTGTGTCCATTTCTGAGCACCACATTTCAAGAAAGATTTGGAGAAAGTCCAGAGAAGAGCAACAAAAATGATTAAAGGTCTAGAAAACAAGACCTATGAGAGGAAGGCTGAAAAAACTGTGCTTGTTTATTTTAGAAAAGAGAAGACAGAGAAGGGACATATCATCTGTTTTCAAGTATCTAAAAGGGTATTACAAGGAGGAGGGAGAAAACTTTGTTCATCTTGGCGTCTGAGGCTAGAACAAGAAGCAATGGGCTTAAACTGCAGCAAGAGAGAGGACATTAGGAAAAACTTCCTAACTGTCAGGGTGGTTAAACACAGGAATAAATTGCTTAGGGAGGTTGTAGAATCCCCATCTGTGGAGATATTTAAGAGTAAGTTAGATACACATCTATCAGGGATGATCTTTTCTAGATGGTGCTTGGTCCTGCTATGAGGGTAGTGGACTAGACTTGATGACCTCTCAATCACCTCCAGTGCACTGCTTGTCCTTGGGCAGGTTGAAATTTCTTATGTGCAATACAAATATTGAGGTAGTGTGTGGATACACACCACAAATACAAAAACCCTAGATTTTATAAATATGTGTTGAAGAAAATATATTAAAACAAGGGATAGTTAACAAGGAACAATGCTTACGATATTTAACATGAATGATATGCTATCATTTGAAGGTGCTGATTTCAGTGAGAACTTAGTGAGTTCAGGCCTTTTCATGTTTCAGCCCAAAGTAGAAAGCTGTTATCTGATTCTGAGTTCTTGGAGACTTTATCTCTAGTAGTAGGTCTCTTTTATATGGTGTGATTTGGCACTATAAATGTCGTCCTGTTTCAACTAAGGATGTAATAATGTAGCCGTTAAAACAATTAAATGATAAGTAGATGCTTATCAGTTAACGCTATTGGCTACACACAGTCCCTCCTTCCTTCCCCTCCCCGCCATGACTCTGCATTTAAAGTATTTTGAAAGACAGCGCAGCGCGTAAGCACACTTGCTCAGTCCTGGCTTGCTTGGACTTGGCGCAAGCTGGGAGTGAGCCAGCATGCTAGCGCACTGGCTCTCAAGCTCTTTCAATGCAAAGCCACTTATCAGTTAATAGTGTATCCGACAAAAATTGTTAGCTACACGATTACCGAATTACACGCTTCCTAACATCCCTAGTTTCAACCGTTGCTTCAGATTTCCATGTACTAATGCCATGTAATGAAATTGTTGAGCACCATAATTTGTATCAGCTCTTCAGACCAGATGCTCTACTATTATTTTGTCTGACACATTTGCCATGCCTGCTGGGTTACTGCCTTTACTTTGATATGTTACAGAATTACAAAATGTTCAGGTCATCAAGAATATTTAATGTTATTGTCATAAATATTTGGACAGGACTTTGCCACTGCTTACATAACCACTGAAAGAGAGTAACTTGTTTTAAGAGGATGTGTGTTTAATGAACAGCAATGCTTCCAAAAAATGCTTTTAAAAATGTGTTTTTCTCAACTACCTATCACAATTTGCAAAAAACAAACCCCGAAACATGTTTAGGGGTTTTTTGTGTCTCTGTACAGATTTTAAATGCTTTGAGAATTGGTTTGAAAGTAAATAGTTCTTATTTTCTTGTTGTCTTGTCCTCAGTTATAGATTCTAATCCTTTACATTTTATTGATCACTTTTTGTTAAATCATGTTTCCTTTCAATTTGTTTTTCTGCCAGCGAGAATGGGTCGTTATTACCATATCTTTTACAGTCAATTTGTACCAGTCATTCTAATTTGTTAATTTCTAAAGTAATATCCTTTCCAATACACTTTAAAAAAATAAACCAAAGAAAAATGAATCAAGTGTTTGGAGAGACTGAATTCCCTGCATTACCCTACCCATTGCAGTATGAGTGTTAGAACTGCACAAACATTTTGGGCATCTCTGTCTTGCTCTACAAGCATTGAACTTAGGTTTTCTTATTAAAGGAATGCTGTCAGGATTCCCAATAAGGTACAGTTCTCAACATAAGCTGAGATGGACTTTGCCAGAAGGTGCTGTGTTCATTCTGGTGAATTTAATATATTTATTATCAGGGTGTAGTCTTCAGGATGTCCTTAAAGAGTTATCTCTTGCCAGATCATTAGAGGAAAATGCCACAAAATGTTATATTTTCTGCCTACATATTGCATCGCAATGTTGCAGCTTATTTGTTGATTGAGATAACATTGCAAAAATACATGTCAAAGTAGGCAAAACCCCACTGCTGCTACTTCTGGTAATGAACAACGTTATGTGGTATGCTATGATCAATTCAGTTCTGAAACTAGACTGCAGAGTTCTTGAATGCAGATCTTTGGTTCAGCCTGTTTCAGATAGGGCAGTTGCCTATGACATTTGAATTTGGATTTTGATTTAACTTTCTCACAGTTCCCAGGTTGGCTTACAGTAGGCATTTATCCAGAGCTGGTGTTTAATAGACCATACATACTATCTGCTTTGGTCAGTTGATAAATAAGATGACCCAGTAGGGCTCTTGCATTTACAATCTTTCGGGGAGGAAGGAGCAGCATGTAATAATCATAGATCAGGTGGCTCTGCGGTGAGGAAGTTGTATTTTGATGATTGATCATTATTGTTGAATATCAGTTCATATAGGGGAAATGCCATCTCTAGTGTTAACATACTTTGAGCATGTGGTATGTAAAATGTGTACAAGCTAAAACAATGGTGTCTTTTCAGAAAAAGAGCAGAGAAGAGACGTGTGGAGAAGGCAGTGGTGTGGAGATCCTGGAAAACAGGCCATACAAAGATGGTCCTGGTGGCATTGGGCAGTATACTCATAAAGTATATCATATTGGTATGCATATACCCAGTTGGTTTCGGTCCATATTGCCAAAAGCAGCTTTAAGAGTTGAAGAGGAGTCGTGGAATGCATACCCTTACACAAGGACAAGGTACCATTCTATATATCTATATATCTAACCCTGCCTAGATTTTTAAATGTATTAGCGAGTGGAACTAAATGTCACTTTACTTGCCATGAATCACAATGACATCTCTTGTGTTTCCATGAATATTCTTTAGAGAAACATTGGGTCCTAGTCCTGAAATCCTTACTCAGTCCTCACTTTGGAATAAAGCAAACTGAACTTTCCCCTCACTTCCTGACAAAGGGAAACAGCCAGCAATGTCCTTGTATGAATTGAAGGAGTAATTTCAGACACTCTGCCCTCCCTAAGGGTAGGAGGCTCAGGGCTAGGGCAGTCCGAGACAGGTCGTAGGGTCCCCCCTCAACCAGCTCCTTTCACATGCCATTTGTTTGTTTTGTTTGTTTGACACAATTCCATTCCTGGCACAAACAAACTCCTACCTTGCTTTAAGTTATAAGAGGAAGCTCTGTACTGAATTTGATGGTCCTAGTTCTAACTGTTTAGGAGGAATTCTTAAACAAATAGACAAACTCTCTGAAATATATAGCAGATTTATGTGAACATGGAAAGGTCACCATGTCAAACACTGTCTAGTAAAAGTGAAATTGGATTCTCATCCCAACCCTTTTCTAGGTTGGAAAGTGCGAAAAGGGGGAAAGAGATTTGATACTCCCAGATACAATTTAGGACCAAGTCTACACACACACACCACCTAATCCCCAACCAGGAGTTTGCTACCCAAGATACACAAACCTGGAAATCCCAGATGACCCATCATCTCAACCATTGGCACACTTACAACAGGATTCTCTGGCTATATCAACTCTTTCCTCAAACCCTATGCTGCCAGCACACCTAGCTATCTTCGAGACACCATCGACTTCCTGAGGGAAATAGAGTATCAGGAATCTTCCCTGGCCACCATCCTGGCCACTGTGAATGTAGAAGCTCTTTACGCTCTTTACGCAAACATTCCACACAAAGATGGATTACAGGTTGTCAGGAACATCATCCCTGATGACACCACTGCATACCTGGTTACAGAGCTTTGTGACTTTGTTCTCACCCATGACTATTTCCAATTTGGAGACAATTTATATCTTCTAGTCAGCAGCACAGCTGTAGGCACCCGCATTGCCCCACAATATGCCAACGTCTTTGTAGCTGACCTTGAATAAGGTTTCCTCAGCTCTCACCTCCTAGCACCCTCATTCTGCTTACGCTACATTGATGATATCTTCATCATATGGACCCATAGGAAAGAGACCCTTGAAGAATTTCACTAGTCAGCAGCACAGCTGTAGGCACCCGCATTGCCCCACAATATGCCAACGTCTTTGTAGCTGACCTTGAATAAGGTTTCCTCAGCTCTCACCTCCTAGCACCCTCATTCTGCTTACGCTACATTGATGATATCTTCATCATATGGACCCATAGGAAAGAGACCCTTGAAGAATTTCACAGGGATTTCAACAACTTCCACCCCACCATCAACCTCAGCCTGGAACACACCACACCAGAGATCTACTTCCTTGATACTTACAATATAATTATATGATGGACACATTTCTACCACCTTACACCAGAAATCTACTGATTGTAATACTTACCTTAATGCCTCTAGCTTCCATCCAAGACCCATTTCTCAATCTACTGTTTACAGCCAACCCCTAAGATACAACTGGATTTGCTTCAGTCCCACAAACAGAGACAAACACCTACAGAATCTATATAGAGTATTCTTAAAACTGAAATACCCACGTGAAGAAGTGAAAAAACAGATTGACAGAGCCAGAAGAGTATCCAGACATCAGCTACTTCAAGATAGTCCCTGAGTTGCGAATGGTTGACTTACGACCATTAGCAGGTACGACTGAAGCTGTCGTAAACAGCAGGCCCCGACTTATGAACGTGATCTGCGCTTATGAACAGCGCAGTCACATGCAACTCTATAGGGTCCGACTTATGAACAAACCAAGTTACGACCAATTGCTTGGTCCGTAACTGGTTCGTAAGTCGGGAAGAGGATGTAATCTACAGCCTGTTCTGGAAAACGACCCCTTGCTCTTAAAGGCCTTGGGGACAGGCCAGTCCTTACCTACAGACAACCCCTAACTTCAAACAAATTATTTCCAGTAACCATGCCACACACCTCCATCATACTCATCCAGGAACCCACCCCTGCAATCGACCCCGGTGCCAACTCTTTCCGCACATCTATAATAAGCGATATCATCACAAGACTAAACCACCACCTCAGAGGTTCATTTAACTGCACATCATCTAATGTGATCTATGACATCAAATACCAGCAATGCCCCTCTGCCAATGTATATTGGCCAAACTGGACAGTCTCTATGAGAGAGAATTAATTAATACACAAATATCCAAAAGGACAATTCACAAAAACCTGTTGGGGAGCATCTTAACTTGCCTGGGTACAAATTAATGGATCTCAAAGTCACTGTTTTGTTTCTGGCCAATTCTACAAGCCAACTTCACAGGGCAGCCTTAGAACTTAACTTCATTTACAAGTTTGATTTCTATAACAGAAGTATGAATAAAGACATTGGCTGGATGGCCCACTACATTCCACATCCTGATGACATAAAAAACCAAACAATGGGTATTTAAGAAGAATTAGCACCTTCTCTATTGACATGCAGCATTGACACTGTAATTGACTATATCTTTCCCCCTTTTTTTCCTCACCCCTCCCCCATTCCCTGTTTATTTAGAAATTGGACCTTTAATAACTCCATTCATCTGAAGAAGTGGGTTGTGCCCACAGAAGCTCATGACACCATCTACATGTTTTGTTAATCTCTAAAATGCTACAAGACTGTTCGTTGTTTAAGTTTTTCCAATCAAATAAGAGATACTCTAGTGGTTCTCAGATATTTACATGCTGCAAGTATTATAATTATAATTATTTTATTTTTTTTTTAAAGAAAGAAGTAAACATACTCCAAGTAGAGTTTTTTGTCCCCAAAAAGGAAAGAGAGCCCAAGACTACATGGGCCACCCCTAGCCACTTTGCCATTGCCATTCATTCATATGGAAGGTATTCAGATAGTAGGATGATGAGCAGCAGTATAAAACCTTAAATTAGACAACATAATATCTCACTGTATAGCATTTATTCCTGTTTGGAGGGGGAGGAGGAGAAATAAAATTGTGTTAAAGGGCAAATGTTTGTTGACTGCCTTTGTGATGGAAAGTGAGATTATTCATTTCTGAAATAGTCTCTCTCCTGCTGTGACTATTTGTCAGTGACTTGGGACGCAACATTGCCTTGGCCATGTAGGTTCCACGCCCCAGCTAGCTGCACAGGGAAGCTGACCCCTGTGTCAGGTGGAATTTACATAGCTCTTGTGCTGAGCATAGTCACGTTTAGCATAATATCGGAGACAATCTGTGATCTTGGAGTTCTACTGTAGCAGAACCATAGAAGCCGTCTCCTTAGGCCATGTTCTGACCTTAAGAACAAAATGTGTACAAAGCAAAATCTCCGGCTCCTTTTTCATATATGCAGGTTGCATTTTAAATTATATTTAAAGCAAAACATGAGAGGGAAATGGCCTGGATTCGCAGCCAGTTAGTAGGTATCTGTTATGAAAGCACTCCTCTACTCCATCAAATCTAATAGGTTTTAGTCTAAGCTTCATTACTCTTCTCTTCCAGGTATACGTGTCCCTTTGTGGAGAAATTCTCTATTGATATTGAAACATATTATAAAGCTGATCCAGGAGATCATGTCAATGTATTCAACCTTTCTCCTGCAGAAAAAAGACAGACAATTCTTGGTGAATATCACTTTTTCGCTTCACTTTGTTTTCTTCTATCCTGCCTATTGATTGCAACACAGTGATTTTTTTTAGGGGAAGAAATATATTTTCTTTGTATGGGAAAACATTGTTCCTATATATATTTTCAAAACATAAAAATCCCCAATGTCATCTCAGCACTGGCTAATATTTTAGCATTAAATTCACATTTGCATCCTTTTTTGCTGAACAGTTTAATGAGCCTTACAAATGATGAGACTTTAACGAGAGGAAGGCAAAGGGTGGCATTTTATGAAAAGGCCGAAAATGGCAAGTGTCACCCTGATTGCTGTTGTTTTTATTTCCTACTGGCTGGTCCCTCTGGCTTGAGCAGTAGCCCCATTGTGTTGGAGTTAGTGCTAGCTATTATAGTTGCACATCATTAAAGCACCGCTTACTAATGAAACTGTTGAGACTCTCATGGATTGATTTGAGTTCTGCCTGGCCTTCTTTTAGGTTGGAACTGTGAGATTAGCAAACACAGTATCCTAGTGATGCAAAGGAGGACACCTAGTGGTTGCTGTACCTTTTTTCTTAGCCACTCCTGAAATCGTGTCTGTCAACAGGCAATGGTAGTACCAGAGATGTAATTTTACTGTGTTTAATTTCTGTAGGCTTGAATTTTTGTGTTATTTTGAACCTGGATTAGAATGTCCACATCACTAAATGTCTAACCTGCCCGATCGACCTTTGTGTACTAATCTGACTCTATTTAAGAATGATTTGCGTCATGTTCTTTCATACAAAATTTACTGAAAGTCCTGTCAATTCTGAAGGAATAACTGAGATGTAACAGCTTCAGATCGAAGTTTAGATGTCTTTAACAATGTTTTCCATTATCAGGATTATTTAAAGTCCTTTTAAGATATATTCATTAGTTCTGCTACCATTGCTTTGTGCTTCTTATAACAAAATTGTTCATTGAATCATTTTTAGACTTCAAAGAGAGAAAATTAAGATTACATATTGTTATAGCACTACATCAGTAAATGTGAAGTAAACCAGTAACATCACTGATATATACTGCAAAGGTACTGTATTCAGTGGCTAGTCTCTGGGATAATTGTATTATAAGCCTCTGAATTTAGACAAAGCAAAGGAATTGCTATGGTATGAGAGGAGCTAAAGGGTGGAATGTACAAAATCCTTTTTACAGCTGAAAAGATGGATAAATCTGCCAAAATATCCTGGATTTACAGAATCATTGGGCAAAAGTACCCATTAGCTAAGACTGTGCATATGAATTCTCCTGACATTGTCAGCATCATTGTCTGGCAGCATTGTATAAACAGTTTAAATGTCAGTTGTTAAAGTGCAAATACAAAGAAGCTAAATTGCTGTAATTTTTCATTTAAAAGTATTGTTTTACAGTTAGGCAAAAAGAGAGAACTTTTAAAAAATCTGTTTGTTTTCCGCCTTTAGATCCTATTGATATTGTTAAAGACCCTATTCCACCACATGAATACAAGTCAGAAGAGGATCCAAAGCTTTATAAATCTGTGAAGACTAAAAGAGGGCCATTGTCAGAGGACTGGATTGAGGGGTACAAGAACAAACCTGGAAAATATCCAATCATGTGTGCATATAAACTATGCAAAGTGGAGTTCAGATACTGGGGGATGCAGTCTAAAATCGAGAGATTTATCCATGATGTTGGTGAGGATCTGTAGTCTTACTGTCAAAGAAATTTGTACTTACTGTCAAAATGTTTACATTGTTTTTAGCATTTCTGACTCAGAATGCAGCAACATGCATGTTACATAAACAGGGTGTGATTAGTTTTCATGTGTGGATGCCTTAAGAGGACACTAGGCTACTCATATTAACACTTGGCACAGAATCCTGTGCATAGAACATAAGTGATGCCCAAAAGGAGATTCTCAGGTTTGATTTTGACAGTGCCATGGAGGATGGCTGTGGGGACTGCCCAGAGTAATCAGCATCACTCCTGTTGTTTGCCGTTAGATTTCATGTAGACCGTAACCATGTTTGGCCATACCTATATTCTGTTTCAAACCCAGAGTGGGCAGGATCTTAATCCTCTGAAAAACGGATGCATTTGTCAAAAATCTAGCTAATGCTTTCAAAGGTCTATTCATTTTCCTTTAATGGGCCAAGTCTTCAGCCGCCTCCCAAATCCAAGTAAATGGACTTTGCAAAAGGATCTGCCACAGGGTTCAGTAGAAGCGGGATTCTCTAACCTGTCCCACATTCCAGAGCTGCTACCCAACCCACCCGCACTGAATGAGAGAGTCCTGCCCTGTAAACTTCCTCAGGGCCCAGCAATTCAAAAAGGCCTGAGGCTAGGAGGGCTAGAACAATTTGTATAGTGGGAGTGCTGAGAGTCATTGAGCCAAACTGTAAACACTGAATATAATGCAAACCACTTCAAGCCAAGGGGTGCTGCACACATTGTTTCAGCATCTATGCCCAGGGTTGTTCTTTGTGGAGTGTTCCTGTAGGTGCTCCACCTTAGGTGCTTCAGTGCCATTGAGCTCGAGGTCAGAGATGCTCGGGGAGCCTGTGTGTGTGTCCTGAGGAAGCTGTTGTACATGCACGTCCTCCCCCCTTCCCCCAAGTTCCTTCTCTTCTGCTGTGTTCACTGGTCAGCAGTCTCCCTTCATCCGCATCTTACCTTTCTACCTACCTAGAATTTGCCTCAGAAATCCCGCCTAGTTGATTTAGCCTAACTCTTCTGACCCTTTACTTTCTTTATTCAAACAAACAATCAAAAAGACGCATCGCCGGATAAGCGTGAGAAGCCGCGTACTAAGCCCACACAGTGCCAACTCCCTAGGCTATTCCAGGCTCGTCTGGATTTAAAAGGTGTATTACCTTTCTACCTACCTAGAATTTGCCTCAGAAATCCCGCCTAGTTGATTTAGCCTAACTCTTCTGACCCTTTACTTTCTTTATTCAAACAAACAATCAAAAAGACGCATCGCCGGATAAGCGTGAGAAGCCGCGTACTAAGCCCACACAGTGCCAACTCCCTAGGCTATTCCAGGCTCGTCTGGATTTAAAAGGTGTACGAGTCGCAAGCTATCCTTTTCAGTTTCTGATGGGCACGCAGAGTGTGTTCATTGTCTGGACGAACACCACTTTACAGAGCATTGCCCACACTGCCAAATGTTCACAGACTGATCCAGGAAATTGAGGGAGCTACAGCTTAAACTGCTGCAAATGGAGAAAAAGGCTCGGTAAGCGTCTGACTTAGAGCAATCTACTCCCTCCAGACAAATATCACCTGGGATGGAGTCGGAGTTAATGGCGCATACAGGATCGAGCCCTAAGGACCATGAAAACGAAAACAAGAAACAGTCCCATTCCTCCTCTGGGACTGACTCCCCATTGAGGAAGTGTGCTTTCCACAAAAAAGCTGCACCGGCAACCCTGCAAATGGGTTGTGATAAACAACAGACAGCAGGGACCAGCAAGGAGAAAAGCCAGGACTCTAAACACGACAGTATTCCTTCCATAAACCGCCAGAGGCAAAGCGCAAAGCCTCAGCAGTGACACCGAGCCAAATGGCTACGGTACTGTCTTCTATGCCAAACAGACACCACTCGGTGAGCTGCAAGGCTCTGTGGCTGCAGAGCCAATAAGTAAAAAAAAACCGGAGCGGCCCGGTAGCAGCTTTCTCAGAATGGCTCCATGGTCCACTTTGAAACACACTGCTATAAAATATAGTCTTTCCATACTTAGACTTTTTGGGGGTAGGAAGAGACAGAAGTCTGTCTTTACTATATTTTTAAATTAATTCTATTGGAACAAAAAAAGTGAACCTAAAATGCATATATCTTAACAATAAAGGGTTTTAGGGTCACCTTTCTATTTGATATTCTAAGGGCTTGTTCCTCCTCAAAGTAGCACTGGTTTAACCATTTTAATTCATTTTAAAATGATTAGTAAACCCGTGCAAACACTGGTATGGACATTCCGATTTAAACCTGGCTTATTGTTAGCATAATTCAATTAGGATTTCCATCTGTCTAAGAATTGTGTACCTTTGTTACCCAGTCTTTCCTGCTTTAGCCCAGACCATCTGTCTCTTCTACCTGTTCTGTCTTGTCTTTTAGACTGTAAGGTAGGGTAGAGTGAAAGAATTACGTCTCGTGTGTTGCTTACAACACTCCTATTAATGCATTCCAGAGATTAAGGCATGGGTTAGCTGGGCAGCTGCCTGGGGTGCCAACCTATGGAGGGTGCCTGATGGCAGCTGTAAGGGGCGCACAGCACCCCTTATAGCTGCCATCCGGCGCCGCTGCCCGGCTCCCAGATTGCGGGCTGCAGCAGCTCCCAGAGGCCTCCCTGCAGCGGCCGCCCAGGGCGGGGGTCGCATTAACCCCTGCAGTGCCAGCCCGCAGCGCCCTTTCCCCCGTGGCCGTGGGGCCCTGCATGGCCAGGCTCGGCCCGCCCCGAGCGGCCCATCCTATCCTCCAGAGCAGTCGCAACCCCTCCCAGCTTGGTATCATCTGAAACTTAATAAGCGTACTTTCTATGCCAATATCTAAATTGTTGATGAAGATATTGAAGAGAGCAAAACAGACCCCTGCAGAACCCCACTTGTTATACCTTTCTAGCAAGATTGAGAGCCATTAATAACTACTCTCTGAGTACGGTTATCCAGCCAGTTAGGCATCCACCTTCTAGTAGCCCCATCTAAGTTGTATTTGCCTAGTTTATTTATAAGAATATCATGCAAGACCATATCAAACGCCTTACTAAAGTTTAGGTATACCACATCCACGCTTCTCCCTTATCCACAATCATTATCCTATCAAAGAAAGCTATCAGATTGGTTTGACATGATGATCTTTACAAATCCATGCTGGCTGTTCCCTATCATCTTACCGACTTCCAAGTGTTTTCAGATGATTTCCTTAATTACTTGCTCCATTATCTTCCCTGGCACAGAAGTTAAACTAACTGGTCTGTAGTTTCCTGGGTTGTTCTTATTTCCCTTTTTATAGATGGGCACTGAGTGCGAGTAAATCAACGAAAGCAGCACCTCCGACACTGTAAGCGTACCCAGCATCACTCCCACATAACAAACAGCTGGCGTTTGCGATAACACCACTCTGCACTCCACAAGCCTCCTGCCTCCCGCCTCCCCCAGCTCCACAGCTGCTATCACAATTTATAACTTCAGTGGAGCTGTCAGCCAGCTCCATACCGGAGTCGCCTCTCCTCAGCACCAGCGGTACCCCGAATGCCTCACGGTGCAACCTTTCAATTACACTGGCCAGCTGTATTGCTTCGTCACTCAGTGTCAATGAGGAGATGTCTTACAAACCGTCGCGATTAAAGTGACGCACTACTCAAAGAGCACAGTAGTACAGCCAGCAATGGCAGGTTCCACAGTGCTTCCCAACCCAGTTTATGCCTAACTGGCCATATTGGAACCCCTCAGCAGCTTATAGGCAACAACAATCTGCCCAATCACAGCAAAAGAGCCAAACATCAAGGTCACAGGCACCTAACAGCCATACTGTAGAACAATACAGCTCAGACTCAGAGGAACAGGAGGTGGACTATATGGGGGAAGAACAGTGATCTTCCCCTTCTCCACCCAGGCAGAATTCCTCCACATCCCCAGAGGATACCATCGTAATCCTGCCACCAATTATGGGTGATGACTTTAGGTCGTTTCAGGACCTCTTTAAGAGAGTCACTGACACCTTGGAGATCTCTCTCTGACGTGCCACAGACACAGCACAAGCTTATAAACATTTTACAAACATCTTCTGTCACAAAGCTGGTCATCCCCATGAATGAGGCAATAATGAGCCCTGCCAAAAATATATGGCTCAGACCGGCCCCAGCCACTCCCATTTCTGTAGACAGAAAATACTATGTCTCTCCCAAAGGGGCAGAATTTCTTTTTTCACACCTGGTACCAGATTCCCTTGTGGTAGAAGCTGTGAACCAGAGGGGAAAACAACAAGCAACACGAATAACTCCATACGATAAGGACTGGAAGAGACAAGATGCAATGGGGGAAAAGGCATATTCCTCTGCAAGCCTACAAATGAGAATTGCTAACTATACCACATTATTAGCAAAATACACCCACCAGATCTTAGACCAATTATCAGCTTTTATTGACCCAATGTCGGACAATAAGAGAGATCAGTTTAAAACAAACATTAAAGGCACATTAATATCCTGTACTACCCTGCAGGCTGCCTCAACTTAGCGGACACAGTAACCAGATCACTCGCTGCAGCTGTGGTAATGAGATGAGCCTAATGGCTTCAGCTTTTGGGGATTTCCCATAGAAGTTCAATCTACTATAGAAGACCTCCCATTTGAAGGTACGAAGCTTTTCTCAAAGTCCACAAATACCTCTGCATATCTTGAAGGACTCAAGAGCTACCCTCAGAACCTTAGGCATTCAGGTGCCTATTACAAGAAGAAAGCAAAACAGGTCATTCCAACAAAGATACAGACACATATCATTTAATCAACATCTATGACAATAGACGACATCCAAAACAAAACAGGCAGAGACAGCCCCCCTACCAAGCCTCCGCTCAACATCCATCAGTATCCAGGCAAAGTTTTGAAGCCCTGGTCGTGGGTCTGACAACCCCAAAATTCCCGAGGCAGCAATCCACTTCATCCTCAGTATTTGGCAACAGACTAGCCGACTT